TTAGCCCGAGCTCCGTCACTACATACGGCAATGCACTTATTCTAAGTGTTATCATTCCCAGACATAAAATTGTCAATTGCTCTGAAAATTTTATTTGCAGTTGCTGTATCATGAAGAGATTCAAAAAACCAATAATTATTGGAAATTCGTTTATCTTCTTCGAAACGTATGTGAACTAATAATTGAACAAATATTAGTACTTTCCTCCAATTGCAATGCGAAATATTCACCGTGTTTTATTTTAGGAATAAGCGTCTCTTTGATGGAATTTGCCACTTCATGAATTCAGCGACGTTCTATATCATTTGATAACGGAATATTATTAAGTTCATTAGCCGCTTTTTCGTTGAATAATGGTAAAAGATTATCTTTACCTTAGTTTTATAAGGTTTTTTTCTAATAGTGTGAGCCTTCCCAAGCTTGGCAATTCTTAGGCTTACTAGATAACTAGCTTCCAAAGCTTTTTCACTTGAAGTAACAAAACCTTTCATTACTTGTTTACTATTTTTGAACTCCGATAATTTCCTCTTAAAATATTCTTCAGATTTATCCTTTAAACTGGCATGCTTAGATTCAAGATGTCTTTTAAGAAACGATGGTTTCATACATTGATTGGATGATAGTTCACCGCAGACAGCACACTGAGGTTGAAGGTCCATTCGTTTCCATTCCATATAAACCCAAATGATAAATAACTTTCATTATATTTTCTATAAACAGTTCTTTTTTTTTATTTTGCTTTTCAATATTTTAAGTGCTAGAAGATTATCCTGTATCTATCATTTGTGAATCCAATCGCAAAGGACCTAGATTTCATTTACGGAAAATCTATAAAAAAATTTACTGATTACGGAAAATCTATAAAAAAATTTACCGATTACGGAAAATCTATAAAAAAATTTACTGAAAACTAACTTAAATTTCATGTCGGTGTATTTGTTTTACATATTGATTTAGTCCTCCTTTAGACAATGGCATTGCTAGAAGGGAGAAAGTTACATTTTTTTTTTTTTTTTTTTTGGAGGGAGCGGGTATTTTTATATGAAACATAATATAAGGGTTACTCATATGGAACACGGAAGCAGAAAGAACGAGTGGGATTTTTTGCGTTATGGGCAGTACTTGCTACAGCTATCTGCTTAAGAGGAGGAATCTGCTTTCATGAGGACAAAACATATCCATAAGCAGCTCAAAAACTGACAGCTTATTTATATTCAAGTTACGAAAAAGACACTAATTCATGCCAACATTACACGTAGAGTAAACTATGAAAGCGTTCATGCAGCCAGCCCGTTCTTTGGGATTCGATCCCAAAGGCTCAGCCGTCTTATCCCATCATCGGTCTCTGGCAAGATAAGAACCACGAGATGGTGAATTGTGATAGGAAACTGAGTTGAGGATCGAACAGTTTTACATTCGACAGGGTGTTAAATGAAATCATGGCGACATTTCAAAAGCTTTGTATTCCTTTCTTATTCTATAAAAAATTTTTAATGCAAAATATGAATGTCAGTTGAATTGCAACACTAATAAGGAAGTATTTCTCTTTGAGAGAGAGATAATTTATGTTTATATTTCTATTACTGCTGGGATGAAAGAGAGCTATAAAATATTTATCCCTTTGAACATTTGCAGTTTATTATAAAATACAGGCCGAATATTGTAATTATACTACTCAGAATTTTCCTCACAGCTACTGTAAGCATCACTTACTCTGAGAAGAATTTTCCTAAATACGAGTCGATTATGAACTACTTAAACCTAAAAGTGAGAGAATAACAATTAAGAAATCATACTATAGTGCCTCCGAAACAGCAAATGGAGTTCTGAAACAAACTTTAAGAATGTTATCGACCATTTTAGGAACAGAAAAACAAGAAAGAAGGGCCATTAAGTATGTTGGAATTTAGGTTTTATTTCAAAAATAAACATAGAACTTTTATTTAATTCGTTATATGTGTTGTTTTGTATATTTTACAGACCTTTTAAAACAAACTGAGAAGGATAGCAAAGGCAAAACCTCTAGCTAATCTTTTAGAGTGTTTGCACTCAGTTAAAGGTACCACAGAGCGTGGTTCGAGGCGTTAAGTAATGAGTCATCACTCAGGCAGCCGACAGACCAAAGCGTTTTTGTTACGGAGTACATTTGCAACTAAATGCAACTTCTCTAATAAAATATGAGATGGATCAGAAAAGGGCACAGGGCCATTCCTAGCTGGGGTGCAGCGCGTAAAAGTACGCGGGCGGCGGCGAAAATCAGGGGCGGCCGGACTCTCGCGATACCACGACTAAATATTTTAAATTCATTGTAAGTACTTGTCATATGCAAGTACTTTTTACACATTTTGTCACATGTAAGTACTTCGTGAATATGAAATAAAGATTTTATTAATCATTGACTACGCTTTTTTTTTTTTTTTTTTTTAAATTTTGGGGGCGGTAATCCTAGGAAAGTATGCGAGCAGCCAATGACTGTTATATGAAGTCGTTGTCGAACTCGCGATCACGTAAAAGATACCAGGTATGGCGTAATTCCTCTCGGCTGACGAGGCGCTGGTACCTGACGGGGCGCGAATCCTGGTGAGGTGTAAACGCTAAACAAATATTTTTCTAGGAATGTGAAAAAAAAATGTATTAGCAACTCCGTTTTTAAAAGATATGAAATATTACTACTGAGTGTAAAAATATGTAAAAATAACATCAGTCCTTTCCCTTCTCATGTTTGTTTCTTTTCTCACTCATTTCAGGAGCCGCAAAGCAATTTTAAAGTTCATATACACCAGTTTTTTTTTAAAGGTAAGGGATTGTTAAAAAACGCTTCTATCGTAATAGTCTAGTTTATAAATTTTTAATAATTTTATCATTTCCACTACTTAATCATAAATCTTTCGTCTCTTCTGGTCAAGGAGTTTAATTAAGGTCAAGTTGCACAGAATACAGCTTAAGAATTAAGAAGAATACAGCAAATTTTTTATTGAAAAATATTATTCTTTGAATGAAATATCAGTTTTATTAGTGAAATGGTAACTGTATATTATACACTTTCTTCTTTCGTTAAGGAAATGATTTAAAAATATTTGATTTAAAATTCAAAAATTGTTACTGACTGCAAATATTTTCGCTTCGCTGCTGTAGTTTAAGTATTTAAATTTTTTTACTGCATGTCATCAAATTATAACTCTTTAGAGGGTTAATGATTCCCACGTCGGTAACAGTTCGACAAAATTCGAAATTTGTTATGTTTAAAGCTCGGAGACATCGTGTACTTCAAATCTGTACTCTTTTCGTTTTAAATCTGCTGAACAGTGCTGCCATCTGTTAACAAATGAACAAATGTGGGGTCATTAACTTGAATATGTACAGTTGTTTATGTGATTCTGATTTAAATGTTGTACAGATTGCATTCTCAAGCAAAAGCATTATCTTTATGGGAGTAGTCGTAGTTTTCCCCGTATGTAAAGTAAATACGAGCTACTTTCATTTAGATAAGTCTTCCTCGAAGACGTCCTCGTAGACGTTTTTGGAATTACTCTGTTGCACTACTAAAATTTAACTGTAGAAACAAAACGATTTAGATAAGGCAATATCTACAACTTTTTCATCAAATGATATGACACCACTTTCATTTGAGACTGAAGGTACTGCGAAAGAAATCCGTATACGTTGTTAGGCTTTCTTCATTTATGAATTTATCTTTGAGGGCAGATTAGCAATTTTAAAACTAACAGCAAATACTCTGATTAAGAATTAATATCTTTGTTCTAAAGGCAGTTGGACTCAAAACTGATTGAATGTTTAAAATTTGCCAATACTTGTAGATTTATGGCTAGATTATTACTTGTAGTTTGATTCATCGTGACATGAATGTCTATATGAATATTTTCATGGTTGCTTGAGTGTTTTCATCCCAGTCTGGAGTCTCATTTAAAATGCAAGTCAACTTTCCTGCCGACTAGCTGCCGAGTGGTAAGATCCCTGAACACTAGTAGTTCTATCCAGATTCGAATCTCGGCGAACGGAATAGGAGTCTGCATAGGCAGAAGTCTGCATCCTGCAGACTATCCTAGGAGGTTTTGTGATTTTTATCGTCTGTGACCTGAATATGAATTATTTGTAGAAAAGGCAAAATTATCTGGGGTTACGAACTTCCGAAAAGATTACAAATGATATCATAAAAGGATAGGTTGTGAAATGCACGGCCAAGTCAGCACATAAATTTCATTTAAATTTGATTGCATGTGCTTGGAGAAAGAAAGAATTGATAACCATTTATTACCTTTACTGTTTCCTGCTGTGTTAAAACACGATTTTCAACCACTGTCAATAAGAATACCTTGCGAATTTCTTGAAAAATTTTCCTGCGTGGGCTACACGAATGGGTGCTTGTTATGATACTACAGGAGTTTGTTATTATATCATACGCACTAATTTCACTTAATCGACGTCTAGATTTAACCCACCCTATAAAGATCGCAGCTGCAAGTTACTTTAAACGAATTTTTTTTTTTTTTTTCCTTCCGTCTATCAGTTTCATTTCTGGCTACATCACCTGTTATGATTTTGTTAATAACACATTAGCAGCGTATTTTTTGTCTTGTAAAGTCATTAGGTTATTTTGAAGTAGGAGACGGGAAAAATGTGGAATGCTCCCACCGAGACTCGAACCCTGGACCTCTCGAGTATACATCGAGTATGCTTCCAGTTACACCACGAAGGTATAAGCAAAGGAGGGTGGGAAATACTATAGTCTCATTTAACGCCTTACATAATAGTTCGCAAATTCGAACGTAATAAAAATTAATTTAAAAAGCAGGAAAACAGCTGAGTTTCAAAATTAGAATTGCGATAAAACAATCTTATTTGAAAAACGAAAAATATACGCATGAGAAGAATTATGAATATATTTTTCAATTATGCGTATTTCAAAAAGTGGTTTATTTTGTGAAACAGCGGACATAAATATAGTTTTCGAGTGCTTTAAATTTATAGCGAATACTTACTACTTGTATTCGAAAGCTATTTCTGCAATCTGCTTTCTTCTAGCTCTATAAACAGGATCAGAAAATCCCTGGAAATGTCAAATTATGGCATGAGTAGTATGCGATTTAAAGTAGCTTTTTTATATCCATAAACACCACACAACTTATAAAAGTATGTATCATGCTCAAAACAAAACCAAAAAAAGTCACATGTTCGAAAAATCATATGTTAATTGTCACGATGAGTTAAATATACATTTCTATTAACGGTGACTTAAACAAAATGGATCTATACCTTTGTACCTTAGAAGTTGGTGTCTTATTTTACTAGATTTTTTTGGAAGTTATGCGAAAGCACTAATTACAGTAAAATTTTTTTTTTTTTTTTTTTTTTTTTTTTTTTAACTTAGATGAATTTTGAACTTATCTTTATCTATAGCAGTTTTAAACTTTAATCTTTGACGTTCCTTTTCGAACGTGGCCCGAGGATAAACGTGATGTGTAACACGATATGAATATCCATACACGTATTGAAGCACTGCTTTTCAAAATTTGTCAACAATTACTAGCAGTAAAAGTACTTCGAGTATATTGCGCAATATTTATTACATCAAAAGCCAACACTAAATCTCATTATTATTTTCCTAGTTTCCTAAGATTCCGAACCTCTTTAATTTTATATTTAAAATTTCTTTTTACGTTACAACGTACTGATATATATTTTCTTTAATCTTATATTACTTACATTAATTCAGAAGATGAAGTGTTTCTTACTACAGACTATTAAAATCTCCCATTAATATTAAAACGTAAATTTTAACTGATTGTTAAAGATTAATTTAGAAAAATAACGGGTGGCCATAATTAAACTGACAGTGCTCACAGTGTTCTGTAGTGCGATCTATTTGCGAGAATGACGCCACATTTTGTAGAAAGATTGAACAAGACCGGGGACGAAGGATTCCGCGAAAAAAAAAATAGTTCCAAAAAACACCACTAGGGGAATATTTGGCGCTGTGTAATAGAAAATAAAATGTTAACAAATGCAAATCAATACGGAAATTACCTTTTATTTTGCATTCAAATAAGGTTCAATGTGGCTGCCGTTGTTGTGGACCACATATTGCATTCTGTGCACAGTATGCACAACAGCAGAAACTAACGTAACATGTCTGCAGGAATCTCCCGTACAGTCCGTTGATATGTTATCCTTCAACGTAGTCTGGTCCTGGACCACTTCCTTGATAGACCTTGATAGACTTAAGGTAACCCCATAGCCAGAAGTCGCATGGGGTAAGATCAGGCGACCGAGGTGGTCATGTCAGTTGGAAAGTAGCGGCTAATGATGTCTCTTTCTGTTTGTGAATTTCTGTCGTAGCATCTGTTGCACCTCGTACAGCAACGTGTGGAGGGGCTCCATTCTTGCATAAAATGATTTCCCCCAGGCATTGTCTTTGCTGAAGTGCCGGAATGACAAAGCTGTTCAACATGTGACGATATTTCTCTCCGGTAACAGAACAGGTTTCCGGTCCTGTCGGGGTAATGTTCTCATAGAAGAATGGACCTACGATAAATTCCGCTGTGAACCCACAGAGTTACCTTTGGTGATTGGTTTGGTTGGATAAATTCCGCTGTGAACCCAACAGTTACCTTTGGTGAATGTAGGGAAATGGCTGCGACTGCATGTGGTGATTTGTCATCCCAAATTCAGCAGTTCTGGGTATTCACAGTTCCATTCAGGTAAAAGTGGGGTTCGTCTCCCCATAAGATCATCCATTACGGCCAAGCATCACGGCCAAGCATCATCCACCTCCATTCTGGCAAGAAAGGTGAGAGCAAAATTCAATCGCTTATCATGGTCGGGGTACAGTAACTCCTGTACACGGCTGATCTTGTACGGATAGAAGTTGATAATCTTTCGTAAGATTTTCCATACCGTATTGTAAGGCATATCCATATTCCATAAGGCATATCCATATTCCATAAGGCATATCCATAATAAAAGGTAATTTTATTCCGTATTAATTTGCATTTGTTAACACTCTATTTTCTATTACACAGCGCCAAATTTCCCCTAGCGGTGACTTTTGGAACTAACTTTTTTTTTTCGCGGAATCCTTCGTCCCCCGTCTTGTTTAATCTTCCTACAAAATGTGGCGTCATTCTCGCAAATAGATCGCGCTACAGAACACTCTGGCACTGTCAGTTTAATTATGGCCACCCGGTATTTACAGATTTGAAGACCTTTTTAACAACCTCATCCAGAGCTTTTGAAATTTTTTTTACATGATTATACCTCCTGAAAGGGAGAAAATGGCTGACAGTTTAGATGAAATATGAGTACTTCTTCAGATTAGTTTTGACATTTTTACAAATGGAGTAATATTTACGGAACTGTAGTAGGAAGCAATGAGAACTAAATAAAAGTAATTTTAATAAAATGAGTTTCGTATGTATCAATACATTCCTTCCAGAATTCCAACTGCTGCAAAATCTTACCGGATGATCATGATCCAACTCAGGTTCAAATTTCGTCATAATATGAGTACAAAAATCTAGATCGCTGATGTGCCGGGGAAACCAAGGGTCTATGGAATAAAATATTTCGGAATTAAATGAACAGAAAGTTTAATTAACAAATGACTTATTACAAATTTTGTAAATTAAAGCATCAATTATCAAAATACTGTGAAGAAATTAAAGTACCTTTGATACTTATTTTGTCTTCCACCAAGATATTGATATCCTCAACATAATTTCTTTTCAGATTCTTAATAATATGCAGTACTTTATCCTTCGTAGCGTTAAGTCTAACCAAGATGTCAAATTCAAATTCTTTTTTCTTAGAAGCTCTTGTTTCCAGGTGGACAATACAACCTTGACACGACTAAGGGCAAGAATTGAACAAATATAAAGTTACATACAAGGCAATTATTTGTTATATTATATTAATAATAAGTAGTTCTGCTTTAGCATATGTGATTTAACAATAAAACAAATAGCCTTCAAAAAGTTATGAGAGCTTTTAGAATGCATCCAGCAAGAGTACTTTTGTGATACATAATGCAATATAATAATATATAGTATACATTCAAGAAAGATATGTAACAGTTATCAATAAATCTGAAAAATATTCATTGACTGACTTGTATAATACTAAGAATTCTAGGAAGGGTATTAAAGCCATCCTTCAATGAAAGAACAAGGTTAACTTGCTGCGGTGAGAGAAGTGGCTCCTCAGGAATATCGCTCACTAGGAAAACCTAAATAAAAAGCTTATTTTAAAATGTTATTAAGGAAGGAGTAGTTAAAGCAGAAGTAATTTTAAGTAACTGTCCTTGTCATCTTTGTTTATAAATATCAAACTTATTGACCAATTTTAGCGTATTATACGCATTTTAAACACTTTAACTTTAAAAAGCAAAATTTTTTTAACCTAGTTACCAAGGGATATCTCTACTAAATGTTAAAAATATTACATGCTAGCTAATAAATATGTTTTTAAAAATTAATGTGTTTAAAAATAATGTGTTTAAAAGTTATACCCGTTTTTTAGCTTAAAAAAGGGGCGGAGAACACGAAAAAAAATGTATGTAATTTCATATAATTGCCACGACCTCCAGACATCTATCTTTTGGTAGGTTTATACTCCATTGATAAAATTTCTCTAGAGTAAAAAGAAAGTCTTAGAAAGCTTTTTTCGCATTCTTTATGTCATCGAAGATTTGGAAGTTGAGGGTGTTCTCTAATTATTAGAAGAGATAGTAGTCTAAAGGGCATAAGTTAGGGGAATACTCTGGATAGGCTAACCCTTTCCATTCAGAGTCCAGCAATTTTTGACGAGCATTTAAAACAGCATTAGATGAGGCATAATTATGGAGAAAGATGACTTTGCGACTGATGAGTGCTAGCAGCTTAAAAGTCAATCCTGCTCTTCATCTATCCAACTGGAGTTAATAGAAGTCAGCCCTTATCTTTGATTACATCCGAGTTGGTTACTTCTTTGATATCCTATCATATGTGCTACTCTCATATAATTTTCACATCAGCCTGATTTTGTTGCGGATCTTTTGGAATAATATTAACTTCATTTTTAATGGCTAAAATAAGGGTGAACTTAAAATATTTATCATACTGATGCACAGGGACAATTTTACCATCATTTGAAGCCCGGCATTATAAAACTTAAAAAAAAAAAGCCTTCTCCCACCACGATGACTTGACAGACACTTTGAGATCTGTCGAGACCAAGTTTGAAACGGACTGGTCGGCTCAAATTCCCGATCTCAGTCTAATTGAACACTTGTGAGATGAGTTGGAATAGCCAAATCGTCTGCGACGGAGAATGCTTTCCTGCAAGAATTTTCGATAGGGATTTTAATCTAGAAACGGAGATAAATTCTTTTGGACATACATGAGAAGTTGACTGAAGACACGCACAGAAGAGACGAAATAGATATTGCGGCCAAAGATAGTCCAAGAACATATCGATTTTAGGAAATTAATGACATTTTTCTTTCTAACATATGCATGTTTTACACCGTATGTTTCCTACAGTGTTCAGATATTCGAAAATGGTAAAATAGAATATATTTCAATTAATTTTCTGTTTCACGAAAACCTACATTGCTTATTATAACACTCGCTTTTTAAAAAGTATGTAGTCTTTTCTTACAGAATAAAGAGAGACATAATATGTCTTACCAACCTGCATTTTTTTAATTCAAGAAGAGTTTCCTAGTTGCATATTTAAGTTTGTTAAAAGCGATATCTAACTTTGAAGACACTAGACTAAGTTTGGCACTGTAATCATAATATGTCTCTTAGACACGTCATTGTTAAAATGGGGTAAATATTCAACATATTTAAATTTACAGCTTAATTTTCATATTTATAATCTCATGCTGATCGAAGCTTCTCTTCTGTAAGGAGTTAATGGTATTTCTCTTGAGCGTGCCCTAATGACGTAATGGCATTTCCAAATATTATCTCAATTTTAGCTAATTCTTAGAAGTTCTGTAGTTCGAATCCTGATCAGAGCACGGTTGCTTTTTCACTCATCCTTTCCAAAGTGTAGTAGGCTGTACATTCTGACCTCCAAAGAAAACGAAACCGTTTATTATGATGAGAAATAAACTGCGAATAAATTACTTCAAGTTAGCAATGATTACTGTGTTCGAAAATCACCTAAGTTGGAAGCCAGTTCGATGGTTTATTGTTGAGTATGAAAATCATCTATAATTACTTTGGATAAAGAAAAGTGCAGAACGACTGCTATACAGCGATTCCATTGGCAATCAGAAAACTTAAGATCAGGAACACAGATAGAGTTACATGTAGCGAAAATCTTCCATTCAGTAACTGCCGACAAATCGTTCAAAATATTTATATTTTGAATTATTTTAAGTTAAAATTAGAAGATTCACTTATAAAACTTTTATGTTAGAAATAATAAAATGCCATAAAAAAGACCAGCTTCTAGAGATATTTTTACTTTTAAATAAATCATTTATTGCGTAGGAATAAAATATCAGTGTCCAAGTTGCTGTAAAATTTTGCCAGGAGAAAAAGTCCACTATGAAAGGTGAAAATATCCGAGAAAAAGTACTTAAAAAAGTACAAAGTGGAACAAGTTTGGGATTTGCCATGCCATTTTTAGTCAAAATGCTATCTCAACAATATCGGTGAATATTACGGTTGTTTTATGTTGCAAAGTAGAAAAATAAACACATTTTTTAAATAGTACTTATAATTTGTTTACCAAAATATGATACTTTAAAAAATAAAATGAAACTAAATTACATATAAAACTGCTGTCTAAATTAATAAGTAATCTATCTCAAGAAAAATAAAAAATCTCAATTTTAGTCTTATTCGAGGTAAGATTTTGTTTGAAAAAATGTATTAATTAAATTACTCCTTTACTTAAAAGTAACTTTACGAAATAAGTTAATAAAAGAAAGTCATTTTAGATGCAATACTCATATCAAATTCCATAAAATTCTATGTAAATTATTTGAATGCTAACCTCTTCTTCTGATAAATCTTCGTCTTCAGATTTTTTTCTCGCCTCTAAAATCCACGATTCTTTAGCTTCTTTATTCTTCACAGTTTCAAACTTTGCATCCCCAACAAGAGAGCGTCTTCTTGAAGGATAGCCATGCTAATAAAAAATACACATAACAAATATAAATATACTATATATTGTTTTAGAAAAATACAAAATATAGTGAGTTTTTAATCAAATGACATTCAGAACTTTTCGATTTAAAGTGATAATACTCTAGCCCTAGAGTTAAGTATTGTAGCTTGAAATGTATGAATAACAGGGGTGCAAGCATTGCAATAGAAATATCAACTGTGTTCTGCATGTTGAGCAAAACTGTACCTTTCGCATAAAATAAAGTGCGTTGGCCATTAATATAACATCTAGTTCTGCAATTAGTCAGATGTTTTACAATTTGCTTTATATTTTGTGCAAATTTTTAAGTAATTTAGCATTTTTTGATGTCTTCTGAAGCTATCTTTTAATGGTTAAATATTTTTGAAACAATTAATATTAATGCCACTGAAAGACACTAGTCCGGATCGTAAATTTTAGTTTAACGTCTATTAGCGATAAGAAAATACAGTCAGCTAACCATTGCCTAAGGCCGATACGATAGATCAGCAGTAAAACATATAAAGTGCATGGTAATGAAGTACACTATAAACATTTAATGCATGTATGCATAAAATACTACAAAAAGTGTAACAGCTCCAAATATGCAGGAGTGGCATAAAGCAGTGTGCAGCAACTCTCGTCCAACGCATTTTGGAAATGCTAATATGCAAGTGAGAGCAGGTAACTTGCTATTGTTCAGCAAATGCTACGTCATGTATGCTGTTTTCAATGAATTTCACAAATCCTTGCATTTTATAGTATAAAGTGCAATTCTTTAAACTCCTGCTCGCCTAATATTCTCTAGCTTTGATGCTGGTTCAGGTTCGCGGAATCTCTACTAAAGAAAACTCAAATGTATAGTTTTTTTCTCTGAATCTATCATGTCTGCTCAAGTAAACAAATTACCCTTTGGTGAGACCAAACCTACCTTAACAAGCAGAAATGTAAACCCTGCTCTGCAAAGAAACAAGTGAAAAGTCAGTACCACTGAGCCGAGGGCTATCGAGACTGTGAGTATGAAGACTTAATTCCCCCTGTCATTTTCCTGAAGAATTCTCTACTCATACAAATAATTCCTCATAGTTTCTTTCTGAACACTGGTAGTTCGATTCTAAGTATCCGGGCTGGCTGCATGGGAGTTTCGTGGTTTTCCGCATGAGAGATATGTGGATACGAGCCTGTTCCTCTTAGAAAGTCCTCCGTGAAGGCATCCCTCCTCTTAGACAGATAGCCTTCACGTGCTCAGCCATAATCAAGTAAACCAAGCCAATCTGATAGTTTTTATTTAGGAAATATTTGCGATATGAAAGTTGTAAGAGACTGCTTAATTTTCTACACGAGAGAGAGCTTCCCATTTGTCCTGCCGAAATACCATCCAAGTCATTATCTAATACTCCCAAGTATCGAAATGAAGTGGAGTCATAAAACCACTGATATCTTAAGCAAGAAAGGGTGCATTGGAGAATTACGTTCCATAGGCCTGAGCTACCTGTTCTTAAATAAAATTAAAAGTGCATATTCATACAGCTGCATATGCTGATGACATTTTAGTGGCATGCAACAAAACTGAATCAGTTTAAGTGAGCAAACAAACATTTGAACAATTCTTTCGGGCTTCTGAAACGTCACTATATACTCAGATAAAAACTGAAAAAGAGAATGGATGAAGTTTCAGAGCAGGAAAGCTCTGCACAAAGGAGTGTTATCTATCTGTAAATATTTTCAGCTATTTTATCGATGGCTAGGGATTCACCAGTGAGTAAGCTGTAAACTGGCTGAAACCAGGTAATTCGACTAGCATTCAAATCCCAGCGAACAGAGTGGCTGCATGGGCGTTTTCATAGCTTTCCTTGTGTTCAACGTCAATAAGAAGTGGTTTCTCTGAAAACTCCTCCATGTAGGCAGATAACCCTCGCGAACTTTGCTATAACCCAGTCCAATTTGTGTATGTTTCCATCTTTCAAATACAAGTAACTTTTTAAAGGAATATATTTATAAAAACTTTAAGGATTTCAAACTCTCTTTTGTTTGCATACACACCTGATATTTCCAATTATTTCAATAAAATATATACCTGGGAAGTGTGTATATGTAACAGCAACTCATAAAATTTTCTTTCATCTAATTATAAGAAGAAAAATATTTAACTTCATTTCAACTTTCTCTCCTTTCGTATTTGATTAAAAATTACATTCAGAGAAGTTTTACTTAGAAGATATATGATGCATGTCAGTAACTGCATTGTTTCAAATATAGTCTAAGTAGGTGCAAGACTGGCAGCGATTTAAATTGTACCACCGTAATTTTAAGTTGAACACAAATATAAATGAATATATGTATAAACTGAATTATATACAGTTAGTAAATGATGCCAAAGCTTTCAGAATGAGTACTCCGACACATATGATGTTGACATAGCCTTTTTTTCTGATTAAAATTAATCAAAGCAAATGTGTACGTTTAAACAATTTACATTCTATCCAAAAACTGCGGGAAAATTATATGGAATATCATGTTCAGTTGCATTTTCAAAACATCAAATTTCGAAATACGCATGTAGATAATATACTCAAGCACAAATGTTATTTCGATGTACATTTTCAATTTATAGGATTGGTGCAGAAAACAGTCATAACCAACTTAGTTCAAAATAAAATATAAAAATACTCATAAATTAAATTTGCTTGGAGATTTAATATTAAAAACCAGCTGATTATTTTAATAGTTACTTTCAAATATCGGAATACATTTGACCATAAGCTTAATTTTTAAGCTGATGGTAAAAACATTGTAAACAGGCTACTATGAACAGTACAATGGTTAACGCTGCTGGCTGCCGTATCGATGGGCCCAAGCTCAAATACCCTGGAAGGCTTGGATGTTTGTAAGTGTATAGCATTTCTACGATATGCGAGCACTCAAAATACTGACTAGCCGAAAATCCTGCCCAAAAGCTTGATGGTAGAAAAAGTGGGTTGGGAGATAATCTAATGCATCCCCGAGGTATTTATTCTTCATCAAAATTGGGACGGAACTTATCTGTTTTCCCAGGTGCAAATTTTTCCTTCTGTGATAGACTTATAAGGTATTTCTCCACTTATAAGGTATTTCTCCACTTATAAGGTAACGTGCCTTCCTCGTGTAGTGGTCTGCACGCTCAGCCCGTATTTGAGAGGTCTGTGGTTCGATTCCCGGCGAGGGCATTGATCATTTTTTATCTCTCCTGCTTCCAAGTAACCTAATGTCTCTACACATTTTGGACAGCGCTTTCGATTATGAAGCGGCTAATGACCGAAGAGCATTGGCTGTTTTCAATTAATGCATTTAATTAGAAGAATCCGGCTATTTGAAGCAACGATTCTACATTGCAAATATTACCGGTATATATTGCTATTCATTGGAAATTATATTTGATATTAAATTAAAAAAGTCCTTACTAATTCTGACTTAGGTTAGGATATTTGAAACCGGTAAAGCACACTAAAGCTGCCTAAGAGAAAGGAGACTTTCGTGAAGGATTTTTAAAGAAAGTTAGCTTGTATTCACGCTACCCCTAGGGAAAACCACCCACGCAGATCACCCGTTCCTCTAGGTTTGAAGTCAGGTCAAACTGCCTCTATTTAATAGTCTTAATTACTCAGCCACAGGTTGGGGGGGGTCAGATAACTGATTCTAATCATTCAGATTTGGATGATTTCGATTAAACAGGTATTCAGTATTTGGCTCAGTTCTCGCAATTAACATAAAAAAAATTCCTGTCTTAGCTAGGGATTGCAAGATTACCGATTTCTCTTTCACTACCCATATTACTGAAAGTGAATATCTCTATTACCGAAAATACAGCTATATAATAAACACTCATATGGAAAAGTAATTGATACTGTATTTTATGTAACTTTAAAACTCATTCAGTAGTAATGACATTTGTATGAAATATGTTAGTAAAACACACTAATAAATTTTGGGGCAAAAATCGTTTATTTCATTTTGGCCACTATAATGCACTCGAAAATATGCAAATAATTTAATGTTTCATCAGCTCGTTGTGATCAAATTTTAGTTCGTAAGTAAGCTTGGAATAGAAAATGTTTGAGCAAGCACTTGTAAATTTAATTTTTTACAAGTGAATGTAATCTAAATATTATTATTACCAAATGTTTTCTTTCCTCCTCTCGTTTCGAACATCTTCAGAAACATTATTTGTAACCAAAATACCATTTGTTAATTATCTATTCATGTTCTTTTAAAAAAGTCGCATTTATTGACTATAGGGACTTCTGTAACATCGCATTCCTATCATTGTTCAGGGCATATGAATTTTGTTTTTCATGCTATAGCTCTATAATTTCTACAGTAACTAATTAGTGGTCTCTGATGTGACACTAAATGAATAAATTCAGCAGTTTAATTAAATTCTTCACAGTTGAGGAAAATAAAACATTTAAACAAGTAGTTCATTCTTTTTCCATTAATCCCACATATAATTTGCAGCTTATTTATTGTTAATAACTTATTTAGCATTTTACCAAATTAACTAATATTTTTTAATTGCTATGGAAATGCATTTGTACCTCCCACCAAGGTAAGTGAGGAAGTATACATAAGGAAGGTAATGTTTCTGGTTCAAAAATTCGGTAGTGAGATTTCAGTGAATAAGCACGAATTAGGATCCCCACAACACGCTTTTACTATTTTTACAATGACATCTGCTGTGTGTATGCTTGTGATGCCTTTTTTTCTCCACGGTAACTCTTGCATCAAACTTCCAGGTATCCGTTTCAAAGTGTCCATTTTAAACATATTATAACCATTTAATTTTCTTTAATTAAGAACCAATTGAATTATATATTATTCAACCGCACAATAAAATTAAGGTTTTTAAAAAGCAAAAGGGCGAACGTTTAAGCATGTTGGCATAAATTTAGTAAAACCAGTTTTTACACATGGCCAATTATATCAAACACAATATAACAAAATTTTTCATTAAAGACCCTTCTATTTATTCAAACAACAAATTAGATTTTAATTTCAAACGATTAACCGGAACTTACTAAAGGTCGTTACTATTAATTTGCAGGATGTCATGTGCTGGACACATGAGATTCTTTCAAATAATTGTAATGATAAACCGTTAATGCAATCCGTTATGTTTCGGCCTAGTAAGTGAAATTGTTTAAATGCTACAGTATCCATTAACGAAGGACTGCACCCCTTTACCTAGGACTGGATTTAGCCAAACCTTAGATTACCTCTGTTAAGTAGATGTAGTTGCTTCACTGTAATGTTTATGTGTTAGTCATGTCTTACTGATGAAAAATAAGGTTAGATTTGGTTATTTGAATACAGAAAAGCAGACAAGGGTTATTAGCGTAAGGGCAGGGATGCCTTTACGTATTAAAGAAAACTGCCTCATATTCACGTTACAAACGAGTAAAATTACAAAAGCTGTTATGCAGCCAAGTCGTTTGTCAAGATTTGAACCCCAATTGAACTACCAGTATTTAACTCGAATTAAAATTGTAGAAGGTTGTGAAAATTATGAACAATATTTTCAATTTGTTAGACAGGGTATTTTAAACCTTCGATTATTTTGCAGTGTAAGAACAATTGATATTTTTCACTCGCAGTTTTCTCGAATTTAAATAAAAAATAAAAATGTAATTATTTTATTTCATTTCGTATACAATAAGAAATGACTGTATATGAATTCGTGTTATAACTCTTACTACATCCCGAGTTTATGAGAGTATTGGAAACTCTTTATGCTTAAAGAAATTTTACAATCTCTGTGTCCAGATGATCCTTCTTTATCAGAAAACACAGATGTCACCCACAATCAATAAAATAATTAGCTAACCGTATTCAAAAAATGGTGTTTTTATACTTTGTAAATAAAGTTGTAAAGAGAAATTATTGCCAGATTTAGCTACCAAGTCGTTACTTTGAAGTAATCTGTGTAATATCAGTCAGACTTATATTATTTTTAATCAAGAGTCAGAGAAAAATAAAACTAATTTCTTAAAAATTAAAGCCGCAATCAATGAATGTTTGGAAACGATCTAATGACATTATCATCTCATCAATTAGACAGATTAGTGCTCCTGAAAATGAGATAACTAAAAGAATCAAAGTACTCAATTTCAATTCTTTCCATTCCCAACTGAATAAAAAATAAATAAAAATGAAGCGTTTCTACAAACTTCAGGCTAAGAAGAGCATAATGTGGATCATTTGTCAACTGCGACACGACGAAAACCACCTGTCGAGTTTTTACTGTACTGAGCTGTTCAAAATCCCCAAACCAATTACTTTAACTCGATAGCTTTCTCCACTCACGCCTTAGCATTGGGAGTTTTCAGCGACAAATATTTTGCTTTTGTACTGGCATTGCTCCTGTGATATTCACCCACACGCAGATATTGATAACCTCTTCATTCAAGCGTGAAAAAAAAGCCATTATTTTTAAAAAGTTACAGCTCGTGCGAAAAACGTAAAGTAATCGCTGAAGTAGTCTCTGAAGAGCTATACAATACCGCCTCATAAAGTTATAAGGCTTTGAAATATTTTTAAAATACAGATATCAAAGAGAGCTCCAAGTCAGAGAGTTAAATCTGAATTATAAAAGTAAAGATGGCTAAAGGTAACAAATAATAATAATAAAAGCTAATGTTTCGACTGGTTGAAAGGATACAGTGAATGGTATGTCTATCATCAGAAATTTCAGTAAATTGTGAAACTATACTTCAATTTCTTGGTGAGGTTGTAAGGAATTCCCGTGCATGCACTTCTGGTATGCATGATTATCCCGTCCTGCTGGCAATCTTAAGATCTGTGATTCGTATCCTTGCAGGAACGCAGTTCACATTTCACATTCCTAGCTTCTAAAAAAAGGGTCTTAAACTACTTCTTATCGTTTCTACAGTGAGTGAGTGAGTGAGTGAGCGCCACCAAGGAAGACCACTGACCTGGCCTTAGCCTCACAGTGTGTTATCTTCCTGGCAGAAACCATCTACTCTCTGCTCCATCCTGCTCCGGGAACGCAGCCGAATAGACGGCAAAGAGCCTCATAAAGTCTACATATAAGCTTGGATGTTGTTGTACGGGGAAAGAGTATCCTGTTAGGAACTACTTAAAATTAAACAAAGAAGCAATCAAAAGACTGTTAAGAATCGCTGTTAGAATAGACAGAAACTGTGTTAGATAAAGTAAAGATAGGGGACTTTGCCTGAAAATTAACTGCCGTGGATTTTCTGGACTTGCTAAATGTCTACATGCGGGTGCTTATCCTGACACAACTGTCATATCTTTATGGGGCTTCTGTGAAATGGTTGGTCCTGCATGGAGGAAAGTTGTAACCTATTAAATTATTGCACATAGTAAACTTAAAATAAATAAATAAAATAAATAAAAATAAAAAAAATAATAAAGAGAGAGATTAAAAGATGATTAAAAAAATCCTAGCGCCCAAACATAATTTAACGCAAGTTTACTTTCCATGTGCCTGACTCTCTTATGTAAGAACATTTAAAAGAATGGGTACCTGTTATCACTAAGATAACAACAAATTCCTGCATAATTTAGTTCTTTGCGCATACTTAAACTGTAGTTGTTTTACAAATTGAACCATTCACCTACATTTTCTTTCGTAGTACTTGCAGACAGGATAATGCATACATATAAGTACAAAACTGAATATTAAAGTGAAAAACTAACATGATACTGAGTACAGAAATACAGAAAGCTGATCCCTAATGCCTGCATACATAATACATGAAAACTAAAAATAAAAACTGATAAGCATAATACATAAAACTGATCATTAAGTACTGCTATGTAGTCTAAATCCTAGCCAAGTACGAACTGACCTTCAATAGTACATGCTGAGAAGGAATAAATACAGACTTGAGTACTTTAAAGTGAACATAAAAAAAAAGTACAGCACCATACTCAGTAAAACTGATATCTGATTCCAAACACTTGAATACATAATGCTGATACATAATTACAAAGAGAAACTTACCTACATTAATTCCATAGTTAGTTTTATCACCTTAGAACATGCACATAATTTATACAAAAACATAATTAAGCACGTAATGCTGATCACTAGGGAAGAGATTCAAACATGCAATTGATCACATAAATACAGATATTTCTTCCCTAAAATTTGCATAAAAAGTTAAAATATTTATTAAAATTAAGAAGGCAAAAATGCCATACCAATAATAATATCATTCATAAACTTGAGGTGATAACATAAGTTGACCTTGCCCTTCTTGAGTAGTAAAGTGTAGGAAAAACTCATTGCTGTTGAAGATTTTACTGGCACGATCTGGTCTTGCGAGTCCTAGACCTGTACATTAATTGCAAAAGTAAACATTTTAAAGAATATAGGCAGGTTGTTGCCATAGTCCTAATTATCTAAGTTAGTCTTGGGTTGAGAGGTTCGAGGTGTGTGCCCAGATTGATTTAGTGTGATTTATACATTTTTTGATTCAGAGCGCTAAGCACTTGATTATTTCTAATTGGGGACACTTATCGTCGTATTTGAGAATAGTTTCTCTGACAATGGCTGATTACCGCTTGTAGCTTTTTATTTGCTGTTTTGTTTGTTCTCATATTTGCCGCCCATTGTGGCCAGTAAGCTTGACTTGGCTTTCTTATATGGTACTGTGCCGTGTTTGTGCAGTGGAAGACGTAGTGGTCTGGATCCCCCACCTCTCCACATTGACATCTTTCTGTGTCACTCAGGCTGAATCTATGCAGATAGGTCAGGAATGGGCCATGACCTGTATAAAACTGTGTCTGACTACCACTATTGCAGTTTAACTCTAGCGTTGTTTTGGGGAAGAACATATACGTTCTCCTTCCTGTATCTACTGTGTCCCATCTGGACTTGCCATCTGTCTATCAGTTGTTTTAGAGTGATCTTTTTGAGATGAGACCTAGGTAATTTATCTGGCAGTTCTGTTCTTGAGACCTCCTTTGCCGCTTCTTTTGCCAGGGTGTCTGCTTCCTCATTGCCTTTAATGCCCACGTGAGCCGGAACCCACGTGAGGCATGGCCTTTCTGATGGTAGAAGACTGAGGAGGATTTTTCTAATTTCTTGGACATACTGGCTTCTACTTTTGTAACCTTTGATTGCGTATCAAGGCTAGAGGCAGAATCACTGTAAATAGTAATGTGGATAAGTCTGTTCCTCTTCACATAATTAATTGCTGCTTTAAGTGCTGCTAGCTCAGCTTGGAATACTGAGTTCCTACTGCCAAGTCTTCTTTTCCATTTATATACAGCTGTATTACCTTTTAGAACGCAGAAGGCACTGCCAGTACCCGTCTCGGTTTTTGAGCCATCTGTAAATATAGCTGTGTGGTTATCTTTTGGTGTCACATAGTTGCCTAGAATACACTTTTTTAGATGCGTTTCAGCCGGATGTCCTTGCGTCACTGGCTTGTGTTTTTCAAAGTCTTCAGCAAAGTGGTGTTGTTCCCATAGAACTCCATCCTCACCTAGCCTTAACACTCTTTCAATTAACGACTCCCTTTCCGCTTGCAGGTCTAGCGGAGGAATTTCTGCTAGAACCTGCAGAGCTGTCGTTGAAGTAGTTCTGTAGCCCTTGCAGACGAGCAAGAGTTGCAGCCTTTGCATGGACAGGAGTAATCTACGCATGCTTACGTTGAGTGTATTTCCCCAGATCGCTACGCCGTAGAGAACAATTCTTTCTGTTATTGCTTGGTACCACCTCTTAAGCACCCATGGTGGTGCTCCCCACTGCAGTCCTGTGCGTAGCATTGTGTTTGTGAGTGCGATACATCTTTTCCTGAGTTCTTTTAAGTGGGGAATCCAAGAGAGATTATTGTTGAGGATAAATCCTAGGTATTTTATGTTTGAAGAGCATTTTATTGAGCTACCGTTGAGTCTAATGGTAGGATTTCTTTTCATTACTCTTTTAACGCCCTATAAATAGCATGGTAGTTTTTTCTTGCTGAGATCGTAAGTTTATGTGTTTGTGCCCACTCTAAGAACCTATTTTAGTGCATTTTGTGTAATTTTCTCGATATTCTTTCTTCCCGAAGTTACTAGAAGGAAATCATCCGCAAAAGCTTGCAGATGTATTTCGCTCTCCATCTCAAAAATTTGGAACGCTGAATTAGCTACTAGGTTCCACAGGGTTGGCCCTAGACAGGAACCCTGTGGACAGCCTTTCTCCAGTTTATGCTGGATTATTCCATCGTTTGTTAGTTACTTGAACTTGTCTTTCTTCAAGGTAGCTCCTTATCAACTTTAAGATCTAAATAGGGCAGTTGATTGAATCTAATTGCTTTTGTTACATCAGGCCACCAGACATTATCGAAGGCTCCCTTTATGTCAATAGATATTATTATTGAGTGATTGTCTTCCTCTCTGTTCTTTTTCAGCAACTTTCAGGAGGATCTGCTACTGCCTGTTCCGTAGATATTCCCTTCACGGAAGCCATACTATTTTTGTTAATTACTGAACTTTTATTCAGGAAATAATTTAGCCTCATTAGAATGATTTTTTCTAGGACTTTGCTAATTGTGGGAAGGAAGACTTACCGGGCGGTAGGAGGTCGGATCCGAGGGATCTTTCCCCTTTTTGTGAAACAGAGCGATCTCTGCCAGCTTCATATCTTTCGGAAAGTGTCCTACTTTCCAGCATGCTTTGCAGACTGAGTGGATCAGCTCTGGAAACTCATTATGCAATGCCTTGAGTATTATATTGTCTAGGCCATCCGGCCCCGGTGCCTTTGGCGCTCGAATGAAACATGTAGTGGAAGTTAACTACTCATCATCATTTGGGTTTACTCAGCTAGGTTTCGTGGCTCTCTCTAATCGCCTCTTAAATGAAGGGGGGAGAATGCATGGAATTATCTCATTATTTTCTACATGCTTGATCGTGTAGGTGGTAAACATATCCAACAAGCTACTCAAAGGTCCTTTTTTGTGAAACTGATTAGTAGTATCTTGCAAACATTAAATCTCCTCTTCATTTGATGTACGAGGTACAGAGTGCGTTGGCTGTCATCGAAGTAGAAAACGAAAAAGGGTTTTTCCCTTTCAACCTCGAGACGTGAACCGTTTGAGATGTTTTAAAACTTTAGAGGACAGTAAAATGTCCCGGAAATTGTTAATAATATATATATTTTAGTATAATTGTATTATGTTGTAGTGTAGATATAATATAATAAGATGAATCAACTTTTTCGAGTTTTTATTTCCCATACATCAGCATTGGTTTCGAGCCAGATAAGTAAGTAAGTTTTGTTTTTTGTTTTCTGGATTCCTCTGTATCTTGGATGACTGAAAGAAGTATTTTTATTTTAATGATGAGGTTATGTTTTAGTAATAATATAAATTCGCGTCCCGCGATAGGAATTTAGGAAATAAACTTTACAAAAAAATTTTTTAAGTTATAGATTTTTGATGTATTAAAGTATAATTAAGTTTGAAATCGAAACTATTTTGTAAAGCATTTTGTTTTATTTTGAAAGTTAACTATGGAGACGTTAAAGGCTCTGAAACTTAAACGGACAGGTTTAATCACTTCTTTTGCAAAAACTGCTAATATTTTAAAAACAGAGATAGTAAAAGAAGATTTTTCTGTAGATTTAGTACGAGATAAACTAACTAAACTACAAAATGTATATTCAGATATAAAAAATCTAGATGAAAAAATACTTGATTTGTTAACTGAAGACGGGAAAACTTTACAGGATGTTGTTACTAAAGAAATCGAAAAGTCGCGAGGTGTATTTCTGATGATTTCATAACACTAACTCGGCAAATTAATGAAAAAGTGCAATTTTCAGATGAAATCAATTTAGAAACGAGACCAAATGATGGTGCTGGTATTTTTTGTAGTAAGATTAAAGAGTATAGACTTCCGAAAATCGAACTTAAGGAAGTTTGATGGGGAATTGATAAATTGGCTACCGTTTTGGTCGCAGTTTGAGAAATTCACACTGACCATGATTTATATGAAAGTGACAAATGTTCTGTTTGATTCAGTGTATGAAGCCCGGATCACGTGCTAAAGAATTTATTGAAAGCTATCCGGTGACTTCGGAAAATTATGATAAAGCTGTTTTAGCTTTGAAGGAACGTTTTGGAAAACTTGAATTATTAGTAGAAGTGTATGTTAGGAAACTAATTAAATTAATTGTTTCTAATGTGAAGGAAGATCACAAGGAAAAATTACCTCTTGATAAACTGTATGATAAAACTGAACTCAGTTGAGACCCTTAGAATCTTTATGTCTTAAATTGAGCGAAAACACATCATGGTTATTTCCGATTGTGGAATCGTGTCTCACGGAGGATGTTTTAAAGGCGTGTCAAAGGAGTTCGCTCTTTAACCAGCCTGAAGGAACTGATCTTTCTCGCCTTCCCAACTTAATAAAATATTTAAAGGCTGAAATGGAGGGTGAGGAGAGATTAAAATTTGGCGCGTAATGGACTCGATGGTGTTAGTCGTAAAGAAGGATATCATGATAAAGCAAGGAGGGGAAACAAAAAGGTAAATTTAAATTTAAGAAACAGGCAAATGTTCCCACTGCCTCAGGTTTTCTTACAACTAAAGAACATGCTTGTATTTTTTGTGGTAAAATTTCTGATAGTATAAGTTGTTACGATGCACGTTCATTATCTCATAATGAAAGGATTTCTAAAGTTGAAAAGAAAAAATGTTTAAAATGCTTGGAACCAAGTCATATGGCAAATTTCTATAAACAGTTTGTTAGGTGTTTTGCTTGTGGTAAATCACACTCAGTTATTTTGTGTCCAGAAATTAATAATGCAACTGAACCTCCTACAGAAAAATCAGAAACAGACAACATGCACACGGCTACAGCCAGGCAAACTTGTACCGCTGACATAGCTTTAACGACTTTATGCGTAAGAGTAGGTAGTGTCAAAAAGCATAAAGCTGTTAGAGTACTCTTAGATTGTGGTTCCCAGAAATCGTATATTTTGAAATCATTAGCCACTGAATTGAGGTTACCAATTATTTCCAAAGAAAATGTTGCTCTTACTTTATTTGGAGGTGCCAAAGCAGAAGCAAAGTTGCATAGCAAATATCGGGTAAAATTATGTTCAGCCAGTCCGCGTAAGTATTCAGATCTAGAATTTGAATTTTTAGATCAAGACATAATATGTGGGGATATACCTCGGGTACCCAAGGGTCCAATATTAAATGAATTAAAACGAAACAGCATTTGGTTGTCGGATTTGGGAACAGATTGTCCAAATATAGAAATACTCATCGGTAGTGATATTTATGGGAAAATCTCACGGGATCAGTAAAACAATTAAAAGGAGGACTAACAGCAGTCTGTACAAAACTTGGTTGGACAGTTTGTGGTGCATCGGAAGAATTTGTTACTCACAAAAATAAAGATGCTTTCATTTTGTGTGCAAGTTTAGTGGGCCACGACTTTAAAATCTCCGATCTTTGGAGTTTAGAAACGATCGGAATATTAGATGCTCACATCAGAATTCGCTGCTAAGCTGAAGAAGAAATTGCCTCACGAACAATTTTTAAACTCTCTTTCCAGAAACGAAGATGGTCGTTATTGTGTGTCGGATTACCTTGGTTAGTATATAACGCAGAATTGCAGTCAAATCGTCCTGTAGCAGAAAAAAGATTGTTTAGTGTCACCCGAAAACTCAAGTCTTTACATAAATTTGAAGAATATGATAAAATTTTTAATGAATGGATGGAGGAGGGTGTAATTAAAATAGTACCAGACGAACTGAATTCTAAGGGGCACTATTTACCGCATCACCCAGTATTTAAACCAGACAGTGCGATTAAGATAAGACCGGTTTTTGACGCATCATGTAAAGTTAATAGATCGCCCTCCCTTAATGATTACTTAGAAAAAGGACCAAATTTAATAGAAGAAATCCCTTCAATTTTGTTAAGATTTAGAGAAAAAATGCATTGGCGTAACCTCTGATATCCGGCGTGCAATTTTACAGATTGAATTTACGGAAAGAAGATAGGGACATTTTAAGATTTTTATGGTGGGAGAAAGATAATGTGCTGAAGATTTTCCGCCATACAAGGGTAGGTATCGGAGGAAAGTCCAGTCCTTTTCTATTAGGGGCGATTATTTCGGTTCATTTGGCACAAGTACCAAAGAACAAAGTTCTATTGCTCAGAAATTAAATAAATCCTTTTATATTGATAATTGCGTGACTTCTGTTGATAACGAAAAGGAGCTTGTGAACTTTGCGAAATATTCTGCTGAATTATTATCTGAAGCAAAAATGGACTTACGTATGTGGACTTATGGCCCAGCACAAAAAGATGTGGAACTAACCCAAAGTGCTTTGTGCACTGAGTCTACAATGGAGAATTCTGTACCAGTTTTAGGGATTATGTGGGACAGAAGAGAAGATAGCCTTTATATATTGAAATTAAGATTATATTGATTTCGGATAACTTGTCTAAAAGAGAGGTTTTTTTTCATTAACGCAAACAATGTTTGATCCTTTGGGTTTCTTGACACCTGTTTTATTTCCTGCAAAATTACTGCTACAGAAAATTTGGGCAATAAAAGCAGACTGGGATACTCCATTACCAGATAGTATCAAAAGTACGATGTGATATAATAAATAACGAATTTTGAATAAGTTGAGAATACCACGACGTATAGGTTTTGGAGATAGAAGTTCCTGGACACTTCATGTATTTTGTGATGCTAGCCAGCATGCTTATGCCACAGTAATGTTTTTGAGATGTGAAACTAAAGAAGAAACATTAGTCAGT